AGACACGGGACCTGACCAAACGTGAGTATTTAACGACCTTGGATTGCTAGCGTTCAGAGGGGGAAGCAACAAGTTTGATGATTTTCGGCCGGTCGATTGCTTCCCATTATGCTGCGCGTTCAAGGGTGTAACGGCTTTTGGTCGCGACTTCTTTGCCTTCGCCCTAACCGGAGCGTTCAAAGGGGTCTAGTAACTTCCGGAAGGGTCGGTTCGGCCTTTCACCGCTCTCTGTAGCCATTCGCAAAGTCCGCGGGCATGCCGGTGTTGCTGGCAACACGCGCGCGCGGACAAACTTGCCTTTAAAGGCGTCACCTCCTCTTCCGACGCTGGACGCCACTCCTTTCCTTTAAGACCGCTTTTGCCGCTCCTTTCCCCGCCAACACCCGCCAATTCCGTATCCTCCGAAAATCTTTCACAACAGATCCTTACGGCCGCCTCCGCTCTGCAATCGGACGCTCCAGAAAAATTCCAGAAGGAATATCTGTCCTCAAAAGCCAAAACCCTTATAAAACAGATAGATAACACCCCCTTTCAGGACACAGACACGGTTCAAAAACTCCGAAAGGCAGTCAGGAAACAGGTCAGGAAAGACAAGCGTCAACATTTATGTGACCAGCTCCTGCAGGATAGCAAAGGCCCACCCTCTAAACAATGGGCCACATTAAAATTTGTCAGGAAACCCTACACTCCCAAAACCCAAGGAGTGCTTCAGCCCAACGGCAAAATCTGCTCCAAAGCTCAAAAAGCGGAAACTCTGGCGAAATATCTATCTGATGAAGTGTGGGGTCCCCAAGCAGTCCCCCCAATGGAAACACCCCTCTCTACCCCGTAGCTAACATGACTCATTCTCCTTTTACGGAGGCCGAACTTGACGCGGCGTTACACAGAATGCGCCACAAAAAGGCCCCAGGCCCCGATTCAATCCCAGTGGAACTCTGGAAACACTCTCCCCGGCACTTTCGTCTGTCTCTCCTGTCTCATTATAACCAGGTCTTCTCTCAAACCACAGCACCCAATAATTGGGCACCGGCGGTGGTTATAATGATCTACAAAGGTAAAAAGAAAGACCCCAAATCTCCATCTAGTTATCGTCCTATCTCACTGGTTAACACAGTTTACAAAATTTATGCCGCCCTCCTTCACCACCGTATCAAAGAAGCAATTGACTCCCGAATTTCCCCACATCAGTTCGGCTTTAGAACCGGTAGATCCACCTCCTCCCCGCTCTTTATTATTCGCCGCCTACTTGAGATCCACGAAAGACACGGAATCTCTTTCTACGCGCTATTCTTGGACTGGGCTCAGGCTTTCGATTCTGTTAGCCACCAAGCCCTGCAAACCTCTCTAATACGCATAGGTCTGCCTCCACACTACTACGTGAAGTGCGTAATGGCTATTTACGCCAACACTACGTTCCGGGTCCGAGAGGGACCCACTGCTCAAAAAGAGGCATCCGCCAAGGATGCCCTCTTTCACCCTATTTATTTATAATGGTTCTCTCTGTTCTTTTTGAAGATCTTTATTCCTCCTACCGTTCTCTTTTTCAGGTCTTGCCTTCTGTTTTGTCATTTGATAAGCCTATCACAGACATTGAATATGCAGATGACACTCTCCTTGTTGCCCGCACAGCCCAGGCCTTAAATCGCCTCCTTCATTTATTACAGCATATTGCTCTCTCCAGGGGATTACAGCTCAATCCCGAAAAATGCCAACTTTTGGCGATAAACCCGATAGGGCCGATATCTTTGATCGACCAACCTCATTTCCCATGCAGATGTCCCAATTGCCAACCCATACTTGGCGAAATTCCTCCTTCCACTACGCCACTAGAACCTACGGAAGTGGCCAAATATCTGGGCTCCTATCTTACCACAAACTCCTCGGCCGGACAGGACGTGAATCACCGATATTCACAGGCAGGAAGATGTCTCAAATCCCTTGACGCATTCTATAGGCACTCGCAGATTTCATATAGACGCAAACTCCTGGTGCACGCCCAGATCACTCTGGCTATTCTCCCTTTCGGGTCAGAGTCTCAGACCTACACACAGTCCCAAATGCAAAAACTAAACACTATACATTGTAAGGCGCTCCGTAAGATATTCTCAGTGCAGAGCTCCTATTATCACCGCGTTCTTTCCCCGGACAACGCGGACTGTTCAAATGAGTATCTCCATATGCCCCGACTACAACCCCCTTCACAGCAAATTCAGAGCTCCCGGCTTGCCTATCTAGGCCATCTCCTTCGCCATGAATCTATCTTGGAAAACCATTTTTGTTTTAACACGGCTCATAACTATATACAATTCCCCCAACGCAGAGTGGGAGCACCGCGGGTCCATTGGACCGAGCAAGCCATGACAGAGGCATATCTGCGTTATCAATTTTTGCTTCAGCAGCAGGCGCCGCCTAGAATATATGAACACTCCCATCCGTTTTACTCCCTACCCACACGCCAGACAATAACTAGAACTCATTCTGATTGGTTCGGTAACACTACTCTTTACCGCACACTACAGCCAATTTCTCAAGACCGCTCACAATGGAGGCAGCTAGTGCACCCTCGTTAACCCCCCCTTTTTGAAAGGAGCCCGCTTGCTAGATAGGACTGCTGACAAGTGGTCTAGACTTGGACTCGCTTTTCGCCTTCGAGAGAGAGAGAGAGAGAGAGATCGATGCTCTTGTCTGTCTCCTTGTTGAGGTTGATCCTTACTTCCCATGCAAGTTGTTTTTGTCACTTGCGTCTTCATTATCCATTGAACACCGTAGTAAATTGATATGGTGATGTGCTGTTGTCAGTTTGGTGTTGCAAGTAGTCAATGCCGAAGACAGTCTTCAGCTTGCAGTGGGGTTTGCGAAGAGAATCTGCTTGCAACGAAGTGGAACCTCGACCCTTTGCACAGCCCTATCACCGAGTTTACGACATCTGGTATTTCAGGGCATCTGCCGGTTCAAGAAATTCCGTGTCCTTGCCTGGAAGGTACGGAGCCTATCTCTACCTGGACGAAGCTCACTCCATCGGCGCCGTAGGTGCAACGGGACGAGGTGTCACCGAGCTGCTGGGCGTTCCCACCTCGGAGGCCCAGTGTTGGCGAATTTGCCAAGAAGCGATGCTCTGCTGTCTTGCGACACTTACGAAGGTGGACATCATGATGGGAACCTTCACGAAGTCCTTCGGGAGTGCCGGAGGCTACGTCGCAGCCGCGAAGGAGTGCAGAGATACAGTTTTGTGCTGGTAGTGTTGAGTTGCTGCATTCGAATTTCTCCTCGGAGGAAGTCATCGCTGCTCTTCGCCGCGGAGCGCCAGGAAGCGTGTCGCTCGCTTGATCGGTAATGGAGTGAACTTCGTAGGGATTGGCTGAGTCTAGGTTTGTGGGTGGTATGGAAGATCGAGGGGAAGGAAAGCGAACAAGCGGCAAAGGAATTTATCTTCATTCAGTGTGCGACTGCTGGTTTCTACCTCTGCTGCCTTCGTTAAACTTCATGCTGGTGATGCACCTTTGCATGAGCTTTTTTTGCTACACGTTCTTCAGCGCATTGCTGGTCGATTTGAATATTCGTGACGTCCCGCTTCTAGAGGGCAGTCCAATTCAAGCCGGCACACTACGCACCAAGACAAAAGCAGGGCAGATGCAATGCACCCGCTGCAGAAATACATGAACGACTGGGGGTGGTGGTTGAGGGAGATCATCGCTCAACCGAGGTTTGCCGGTGGCATGGCGCCACCCTGCGCAGCCCAGGCTTTGCAGGCTCTCCGCGTCATCTCTGGCAAGGAAGGCGGCTTGTGCTTCTGCTTGCGCCGGAATGACGCACTCGGTGGAGTTGTGGCTGTGGACGCAGGGGACGCAGGGGGATGTGTAGGAGATGAAGCCCTGGATTTGGAAGTTTGATGGCCTCTGCAAGGCTATGCAAGGCTTTAACCAAGATCCTATGCCTAGGCGTAAGCATTGAGGCTCGATGGGGTGTTGGCCATGTTTGCGCATGTCGGTCGGGACGTGTGTGAAGGTGGTGACACCGGGGCACGGAAGCTCGCGGCTATCAAGGAAAACGCCAACTATTTCCGCGAGGCAGGGCAGGGTGCTGTGACAAGGTCCTAAATGGTTGAAGGTCCCGAGCGTGAATTCCCTTGCAGGAGCTGGGTCGTCGTGGCTTCAAGGTTTTGGGCGACGTCGATTCTCCGATCATCCCGGTGATGCTGCACCACCCCTGGAAAATGGGTGCCTTCTCACGACGCTGCCTGGACCGCGGCATCGCAGTGGTCGTCGTGGGCAACCCTGCCGTGCCCATTCTCTACGAACGTGTGCGCTTCTGCATCTCTGCGGCACACAGCATTCCGCAGCTGGCGGAGGCCATCACTGAAATCACTGCCGTGGGCCGAGAGCTCGGCGTCCTCTTTGAGTTGGCCACTTCTAAGCAGGAGTTGGAAGCTCGAGCGGCGAAGGATCAGCAATACGCTTCCTGGCTCCGCACGGCACCGCTGATCAAGAAGGTCGATGCTACGCCCGCTTCGGCTAGCTGGCGGCCCGAGGCGCTGTCGCCGGCAGCGCCAGCTGAGGGCAGCCTGCTGGCCTCCTTGCAGGAGGCCTGTGCCCGACCTGAGGAGGTCGTGCCAGCAAGCCAGGAGTTCCGGCTTATGGACCCGCTTGGCTATGCGGCCTCGCCACTGGAGGCAGCCTTCCAAGCAACGGAGGCAACGATGGACCACTACGGCTTTGGAGCCTGTGGTCCTCGTGGCTTCTATGGCGGCTCCCTCCCGCACTTGGAGCTGGAAACGGTGATTGCCAAACATCTCGGATGTGAGTCCGCAATCGTCTACTCTGCTGGAGTCACCACCGTCTCCAGTGTCATCCCAGCTTTGGTGCAAACCGGGGACAAAGTCATTGTGGATTCTGAGGTGCACCTGGGGTTCCGTGCTGGCCTCCGTCTCTGCAAGGCCGACGTGACGTGGGTTCCTCACAACGACCTGTTCTCCATCGAGAGGGCGCTGGCGGCGAAATCCACCAGGAGCCTGGAGAAAGGCGCGGGGCCGTGGGGCCGCGGGGCCTAAGCTATTCCGCTATTGCGTGCATTGCACCTCCCTGTGGCGTCGCCGTGTCTGATCCCCTGAAGGAAAGGACTCCAAGGAGTCCCGGCGGACTTTCATCATGGTGGAGGCCATGAACCAACGCACCGGGCAGCTGGCACCGCTGGCGGAGCTCGTGAAGCTGATCCCCAGCAGCACGTTGGGGGAGGGGTCCGGAGTACTTCGGTGTGGTTTCGAGATCGTTTCTGCCATGGAAGTCGGCACCCCGCCAGGAAAGAGAGATATGGAGCTTTGTTGGTGCTCGACGAGACCCTGTCCTTTGGCTGTTTGGGCGAAACCGGCCGGGGTCTCACGGAGCTCCAATCGATCCCTCCGAAACAGGCAGGGCCATGGGTTCTACGGACAGACCATCGAGATGTTTCGACTGTGCTTGCAGGTGGATGCGATCATGGGATCGCTAGAGCATGCTGCCGCAGGGGTAGGCCAGGCAACGTTTGTGTCTGATTTGCTTCGTGGAGTCCCTCATGATTTGTTGCTCTGCAGGTGGCTTTTGTGCTGGCCGGCGTGGTCTAGTTGACCACCAGAGGCCAAAGGGTCGCAGTCTGTTGCGGTCATCAGGGCGAAGACGTGTCTTGCATGCAAGGCTCGCAGGAGCAGGCTACTGCTTCTCAGCGTCGTGCCCTCCGTGGCTTGGAGCCATTGTAGTTTGTGAAGCCGATGCGAAGATCATCCAAGCTGCAGTCCCACCGACTGCCCTACCTTGAGCCCCGCTTCACTTCACGGTGGTTGTTTGCCTAGGTCGGCATGCTCCGCGGCAGTGGCCACCGTGCACGACCTGGCTTCTGCAGAAGGCAAAAGCCGGCGGGAGCGATTGAAGGCCGCTGCAGCAAAGCTGCATCTAACTTTGGCCTCGATTGCTGAGGACTCTCCAGTGGAACTGCTGAGCAGTTCCGAATCCTTTGTACAGCAACTTCGGTGGAAGCACGACGACGCAGAACAGCAGCTTATGCGCCTTAGCCGGGCCCTCGCCCAGGACGGGTTGCGAGCGCAGGTCTGCTCGCCGAGCTTGTGCGGCTCAGAAGGAGCCTTTGATGCTCGGCTGAAGGCACCGAATGCCGCAAGGCCCACCCTGCGTTTCTGCTGCTCCTCTGAGCATTCTGAGGAAGATATTTGCAGACTCGGGGATGCTTTGCGAAAGGCTTTGTCTTAGTACGTCTTTATCTTCCAGCCTGCCGAAGTGTAGCTGCGTTTTGCTGGGAGGAGATTGACCACAGTTTAGTTGTCCTGACCACCCACAGTCGCAGCGAGTAGGCGAGTGATCCTTTCTTCGCATGCCAGCTACATCTGCTCAACCTGCCAACAGACCCTCCCAATAGGAGTACTACGATGTTCAAATTCAAGCTTGCAGTGTACAGTGCCGTGTCACCGTGCCAGGTCCGCAAGCGACATGACCCGTGCATATTTTGCTTCCAAGCGGTGCAAGAAGCGCATGCTCAACCTTGTCATGTCCGTAAAGTGGAGAGCTTGGGACAAGACCGCAGCAGCTCAGCTGTGTGCGTTGCTCTTGCAGGTCCCTTCTTGTCGTGCTGCGTGACACCCAGTGTGCCCGGAAGGCCATGGAGCTGCTTGTACAGGACCTGATTTTTGAGGGATGAGGGCACAGCAGTGAGCATGTGGCGGGCCAGCACCTGCCCATTTTACAGGACCAGCCGCTTGCGGAGCTTTCGGCTGTGGGAGACCTGGTGGTTGGCTCAGTGCAGCGTAAAGCGCAAGTTCCGGGGACAGTTTGACGTGACTGGGGGTGACTGGGGGTCCGAGATTTTTTTTGGAAAGAACCGCTTTTGCTGGGGTCGACAGGGGCGTGTCTTTCAACAAGCTGCAAGTGCATTTCCATTGGTGCAGAATGTGGCGCTCATGGCATGCACCCTGTTTGAGCTTTGTGCAAGCCTGAGCCATTCTGGTTCTGGGACTGTCCATACTGTCCAGCAAAAGAAATACATCGCGTGCATCCCGACTCTGTGCGCCCCTGGTGGAGAGATCAAGGGTGTATCAAGTCAAAGGTATAAAACTGTGTTTGTCGTTGCTTGGATTCACTTCGGCTCGGAGCTGCCTGGGAGGATTCGTCGCAAGAGCAACGCGTACCCAAACCGCCAGGTATCGAATTGAGCAACCATGGGCGCCTACAAGTACCTCGAAGAGATGTGGCGTCTGCCTCCCGGGCGACGCAACGAAAGCCATTGTTGCTGTAGGGCCTTTTCAGTCTTGGCCAAGTCCTACCCCGCTCAGGCAAGAAGCAGTCGGATGTCATGCGCTTCTTTGCGCGCCTGCGCAATTGGGAGTGTGAGGCTCAGGTTGGTCAGGTCTTCCGCTTCCGTTTCTATCTGGAAGCATCCTGCAATGCTCACCCGGCTCATCCAGGTTCCGTCAGCTGCCGGCGGTGCACCGCTGCACTCGCCCGACGCGCCCGGACAAGGCTGCCGTCCGCTGGCCTAGGCTGAATGCGTTGCAGCAAGCCGGCATGAATCTTCGGTTTGCCACCATTCGGTTATCGTCCCTAGCATATCATGTGTGGGGTCACTTTATGGGCGCCTTCAGCAATCCTTTGAAGCTTACAATGCGAGGCGCGAAAGATGGGCTACAAGGTGGGGGCTCCGGTGCAAGTAGCGCGTGTGCTTCTGTCACTGCTGTTTCGGGCAGGCGAGCTTCTTTGTGCTACTGCTAATCCTTGTACTGCTTGCTTTGAATGGCAGAGCCTTTCGGACTCCAAGGCCAAGCAAGGCTACTGCATCTACCGTGTGCGAGTGAAGCGCGGCGACCGCAAGAAGCGGGTTGCCAAGGCATGATGCGGAAGAGAATGGTGCCTATTGCGTGGACGGTGTAAGCAACAGCGGCTCAAGTGCCAAGGTCTTGTCATGTTCGCAAGTTGCTGTTATCAAGACTTCTTTCCAGGGTATCGTGTACGGCAAGCCGGTGAACCAGGGCATCAACAAGTGGAAGGCTCCCGCTGCATCGCCAGTTCTTGTCCGGCGTGTCTAGGATTGAAATCCTCTGCTCACCCTCCCCCCTCCGCAGCTGCTGTCCCGAATTCTCGCACAAGTGTGGGGAAGAACGCTCTGCAAGACCTTTCGATTTGCAATGCTGTCCCCGATTGATCTAGAGTGTGCCGGAGAGTCCTCGAATCAGGCAGTCCGGAATCTGCGCAACATTGCAGAGGAGCGTGTGGGCCGCAAGTGCGGAAGCTTGCGTGTGCTGAACTCCTACTGGGCATCCTGCCAGCAGCCGGACGGCTCAGTTCTGCATGTTGTGATGCTTCGGAGTCGCCTCGAGTGACAGGCACTAAGCACTCGAAACAACGTGTGTCTTGAGCGGATTTCTCCAGCGTCACGATCATGTGCTCAACAATACACGGACACTTCGAAGATCCCAACTTGGCGCCGCCTCTGAAGAGCATCGTCAGGTAGCCCAGGATGCGGTGCACAAGTGGTTTGAGGCGATGGGCTTGGGCCGGAAACTTCTTGAGGCTCAGGGCTTCTGCTTTAAGAGGTGGTCATGGTGGATCCCTTCCACAAAACCGTCCGTGATGACCCGCGCATCAACTGGATCTGCAAGCCAGCCGACGGCTCGGACAGAGAGACGGCCTGAAGACTTCTTGAGTCCGTCGCCAGCCTCCCCTCCGATTGCGGAGAGCTAACGTCTGAAGCACTGAGCTCAGGTGATGAAGCACCGCGAGCTGCGAGGTCTCACGGCCGCCGGCAAGAAGGACACCTTTCGCATTGGTTGGCCCATTCCCAGCCGGCCCCAGCTCCATAAGACAGTGACTGTAAACGTACGATGCCTCTTGTCTTCTTGGAAGAGGCCCGTGGCCTGCTCAAGAAGGGCAAGCGTGCCACCAAGCTCCGCCCCTCCTACCGCGCTGCCTACCGCCGCCACTCCCTTATGCGCCTGCGCTCGGGCCTCAGATGCTATGCCCTGTACTGGTAGCATGTTCTGTGTTGCTTCGCCAAGTTGCAGCACAGCCTCTCGTTGTCATGTTCCATAAACCACAGAGTATCAAATCGATGGCTGGACCTCAGTAGGACAAGCAGTAGTCCGGAAAGCACCAAGGCCGCTATCGTTAGACGAAGACGACGCTGCTCTGACCTGGCGCAGTTCTCCTCACTGCCAGTCCCGCCGGTGCCACGTCCTTCGGAATGCTGTGGTTACTGCACTCGAGTTCTGCAAGTGTTTTGCAAGAAGCAGACGGACTTTCCATCTTCCAGCATGTGGCACCCGGCTGTGCTGGCAGTGATCGCAGAGATTCTCTATGGGTTTCTGTATAGGCAGGACGTGCCAAGTCTACGAGCAGTGGGTCATGATTGCTGGCAGTCTCTGGAAGAAAGGTCTTGTTCTTGTCTTGGGTGTCTTCTTCCAGAACCCCCTGCGGACCCCACACTGCTCGACACTCTTTGTTTGCATGGTAAGTACTTTGCTCTCTTGCTCAGAGCTTGGCCCGAAGGACACACGCACCACAGGCCACAAGCTGGTCTCAGAGCCTGACAGCGGTTGGCTTTAACAGCCTGACTCTGATACGCCTCCCAGAACCCTTTTTCGGCCATGGGCTGCGGCTCCTCACAGAGTACGACTCCGGTGCTTCCAGACAGCCCCTTGCAACGCTGTCTTCGCGCGTGTGTGTGGTAGATGGGACGACTTCTTGGCCTTACAAGCTAGCACTGGTGAGGCTTTGCTGAGCCGGTGGTGATACTTCCTGGCACGCTGCTGTATGTGTCCTCTGCTCATCCAGCAACCGCCTGCCGCTGAGAATGGTGTGTTTTGAGCGAACTTTGATAATGCAATCTGCTCATGGCTACAAGCTAAAGCTTCCATCCTCCGCTGTTAGCCTGTTCCGAAGGTGCTGCGCCGGTTCTCCTTAGTGCCTGCAAGCGCAGAACTGCCTGGAGTGCTGTGTGTTTGGCCGGCGGTTGCTCCGTGAAAGAATGCTTCGTGTAGTTGAAAAGGAGGCCATGGAGGCTCGTGATGTAGGCAGTCCAGTCCCTTTGCTGCAGTGTCGGACCATTTTGTGTCAAGTCGATGCATAAAAGGAACCGTCAGGCCAAAGCTTGCAAAGCACTGCAGAGCTCTGCTCCGGAGCCGATGCGCAGGAGCTGTGGAAGACGATCCTCCAATAAGTTCTGCCGGTGTCATTGTCGCGGTGGATGAGCTGCCCGACGCGACCTGCGGAATAAGAAGTTTGTTGGGCCTAGTGTCACAGTCTCCCATGACTCCCATGCCATGCCTGCTTGTGAACATGCTACACGTGCAAGCACAGGTGATGCAAGCGCCAGCGAGAATATCTGACAATGCCGGCACGGCATCTGGAATGGCGTCGCAGCCAGCGAAGTTGGAAGTGATGCCTGCACGAGAATTTACTTCACAGCCAAAGGCCATGCCTTGCAAGCCCAAGCCACTACAATCGTTACCGGAATTCGCACCTGCAGCCGATTCCATGTCGCCGGGCCGACCGGGAGCATGGCCAGAAGCGACTAGCTCAACAGAGCCAAATGTTCCACAGATGGAGCCGGGGGATGCTCCTCAGCCTTCTTCGCAGATACTTTTTTCTTGTCTGGTTCTGTCGCAGATTCTCGACGAGTGTCCAGGTGTCTTGAGAACATGTGCGGAACAGAGGAGCAAGAAACAGTCTCCTTACCTTGGACTGAAGCATAATCACTTGCAAAAGGTTCCTGCGGAAAATAACTGCGCTGCCGCTGGGTGCCTCGAAGCCGAATGCACCCGCAAAGCTGCAGCTGCGGCCCCCATTGCACGTTGGGTCCAGTCGGCCAACCAACTGCGGCAGCTCCTTGGCACAGGGGAGTGCTGAGAGGTGCCAGTTAAGAGCTGTGCAACGCTGGCTTTATTACCCTGATCTGTATTATTGTCTGGGAGCGGGTTGAGGAAGTGTCAATTATCATCCCAAGCCAGCAGGAAGCTCCAAAACCCAAGCATTACTACGAAAACAGGGTCATATCAATGGCTCTGTTCAGGCTCCAGCCGGCTCGAGGATCCTCGAAGGCAAGCGGTTTCAGCAAGGAAGCCGGCGAAGATGAGGCCGTCGAAGTCGAGGATTTCGAGGAGCTCCTCTCCATGAGTTTTGTGTCTGAGCAGCTCTGGCAGCGCCAGGATCATGGAGATGCTGCTGCTGCCAGGCCCCTTAAGTTTGGTCCTGGCGACTCCTCACTTGAGGGGCCTTTCTTTTCTTTCTTTTTTCAAGTTGTTTGAGGCTCCAAGATCTGCTCTTCGCCAAGTGGGAGGCAGAGTCCCTGGTCTGCCGCGTCGCAAGCAAGGACCGGACTTTGCTGGAGAGAGAAGCTTTTGCCACTCAGCCCTTGGTGGAACTACAAGATGCTGCAAGGAGATCCGTTCTCAGAGGACTTCGAATTCCAGTTCCACTCGTGAAACCACAATGTTTGCGACTCTGAAGCAAGTGCTTAGCTTCGCAGTCCCCGAGCCAGGCGACTTGTTCTTTTCGTGTGCGAGTTCGATATGTGCTGATTTCTGGAGCTGGTAGTTCTCTGGCTTGTCGAAGCATATCCAAACTGACAGATCCTCACTACGATCTCAGAAACCACAAATCCTAGAGGCACTGCTCCCGAACCGGCAAATACCCACTGCATAACGCGGTTGAGATCTTGGTGTCAAACTCCGCAGCTTTGATCTGTAAGCTGTAAACCATCGAAGTCTTCCAGGCTGCCCCTCTCAGACCGCCCCG